CTGAAAAGTCCTTGACTAGTGTAAACACTACCTAGCAACAACTAAAACATCGGTGTGTTATCAACATTGTTCTCACCCTAAATCCAAAACACAGCACTGTACCAGCTACTAGGAAGGAAATTAACTCTATCCCTGCCGAAACCAGGACAGTCCCGTGCACCCTGCACCTGGCTGCACAAAGACACCAGAGGCACCCGTTAGGGCTCTGAGTCTTGGATGCAATGCCCGTTGCCAGGGTCCCAGGCAGAGGCTGTTGTTACTTGAACATGAAGAGACTATCTATCATCTCCCCCGTCAGCAGCTGCAGGTCTTACTGCTGATATAGTGTGTGCAGTACAAGTACAACCACATACATGCTTCAGAGGACAATTAGAGAAAATGGATGAGGGATCCAGACTTTTTCAAAAAGAAATATGATCAGTAATTGCATTAGACAGAAGTATATGCTAGGGCACATGCAAAAGCGCAGAGGGAAAACAGTGAGCTAGGAGGGTCCTTCAGGCCCCTGGTCTTGCTTTAGCCCAAAGGCCTGGTGGTTCCTTTGTGGAGACCTGCTTGCAAAAGTCAGAAGTATTTCTCAGCCAGGTATGGAACAGCCCATTCTCCAAGCTTCAAGCACTGCCCCAGGACATCCTTTCTTAAAGTTGTTTTATTTCCACCAAGAATAACTGAACCATATTTTCTTTGACTTGGCATGGGGAGGAAGCCAGCTGATTTTCAAGTCAAGATGTTGACTTGATTTTGGTAAGAGCAGAAGTCAGCAGTACGTGCTGGGACACCCCAACCAGTTCAAATGGCTGTCCTGCTGGCTGGGAGGGTGCATGCTGCCCCCATTACTGCACACAAAACCCGCACCCGGCCCATGACACACTGCATCACTTGAGACAAGGATGCTGAGATGAGGCAGAGATACACCTGAGCCCCTGCAGAGGCTCTCTGTGTACTCTGTGCCCTGATGGGCTCCTCTCACCCAGAGAGAGGGAGAGGAACCACCACCGCTCCTGAGGGGGCAGGAGGCAGAGGGGCTGCAGGAGCTGCCAGGCCACATCCCAAGAGAAACAACATCATCCAGCTGAGCCAACAGCCTGTGCCTTCACTTTTATTACAACCAGGAGTTCTCCTTACATTTCAGCCACTTGTATGCCAAAGGGAAAATTTCCAATATTCTTCAGATAGTGGGACCAGCCCCACAAGTTTTCCATGCAGAAGTTCAAGTCCCGTGCCAGCCGCTTTATGAGCAGGTAGGTGCCACCCAGTCCTGCTGCCCCCATGACAAAGAGCCCTCGATTAATTATCTGCAAGTGCAAAGAGAAACCCCGGCATCATCAGAGGTTTGCCCCTACCCAGCGGCACCAAGCGAAGTCTTCATACCTGCACCCACCTGGCAATATCCCACCACCAAAGCTCCCCCCCCTGCAGCCGAGCAGTGCTAGTGTGCAGGATGCTCGAGGCTCATGGCATGGGGAGGACAGACACCACACTGACCAACCTTTTTCTGCCATTTCCAGCGCTGAAGTGCCTCATGGTAGCGAATTCTAGTGAAGGTCACCTGGAAGGGTTGCAAGAGCACGTCACCACCTCAAAGCCAGCCAGGAGGAGCTCGCAGTGGCTCAGGCAGTGGGGATTGAGGTGCTGGCCTTACCATGGTGTACAGCGGGACGATGGTGGAAGGCATGAGGGTGTGGAGGAAGTTGTCTACGTGCTTCCGGAAAATGAACCATGTTGAATTCACGTGCTCGCGCATCTGCGACAGAGCAACCATCACCCCTTTGCAGGGCGTCTTGGCAGAGCTCCCCTGCATTTTGCTAGCTCTCCTGCTGCCTGTCCTGGGTGTCACGGCAGGGAGCAGAGCCTCCCCAGCCCCAGTGGCATTCCCAAGGAGCTCTTAGGCTAAAGTCTGCCGGGGTGAGAGCCCAACCAGAGTCTTGCCAGAGGCCCTGCCCACTGTGTGCATCCTAACAAAGTGCCACTGTGTGCATGGCCCATGGGACCACAAGTCTGTGTGTGGCTCACCTACCTCTATGTAGTTGTACATGGCTAAATCCGAGATTGCGTGGTCATCTGGCACCCTTAGCCTGGAGAACTCAGGGAGGCAGGCACCTGGGAGAAGAAAGCGGTGGCTCATGGACAGCTCCCCAGCAGGGTATCCAGCTGCCTTCAGCTGCGGAGGGATCCTCCTCTGCTCTCGCTCCTCCCCGGCCACCTCACTCACCAAGGTCATTGTGCAACTGGTCCATTAATTCATCAAAGACCAGACAATCCTCAAAGCCCTGGGAGGAGAATTAGAGGGTAAATAGGCAGAAGGAACCACACGTTCACAAGAAGTGCTCTCACAGATGCTTAGCTAGTGTGGCTGTTCGCACGTGCAGAGTCCCACTAACCACAGCTTCAGAGCAGGAGTCTTACTCCAGGCCACTCTGCCAGGCGTCTTG